CCCCGGCGCAGGCGGCGGCGGCGGCGGCGGCACCTGCATCACGCAGGTGGGACAGCATCTCTTCCAGTCCTTTTCCTCCACGCTGGTGCTGATTGTCCTGGTCACCCTCATCTTCTGCCTCATCGTGCTGTCCCTCTCCACCTTCCACATCCATAAGCGTAGGATGAAGAAGCGGAAGATGCAGAGGGCTCAGGAGGAGTATGAGCGGGATCACTGCAGCGGCAACCGCGGCGGCAGGGGGCTGCTCCAGTCCGCGGGCGGCCAGGCTCCGACCCACGCAAAAGAAACCCGGCTGGAGAGGCAGGCCCGGGACTCTGCCTCCTGCGCCCCTCCCGACGCTTCCTCCTCCTCGTCCGCTGGCCTGCCGTGTCGGGGGCCCTGTGTTCCTTCGCCTCCACCACCGGCCCCCAGTCCGCAAGGAGCACAGGCAGCCTCCTCCTGTTTGGACACAGCTGGCGAGGGCCTTTTGCAAACGGTGGTACTGTCCTGATTGTCTAGTCCCTCTTCTTCCCTTCCTCGTTTCCAGCATCTTTGCGGTCCTTGCTTTCTTTCCTCCGGCCTTCCTCTTCCACTTTCCTGTGGCCTCTCTTCCTCCTCCTCCTTTCCTTATTTTTCCTCCCTCTACTCTGTTTCTCCTCCGCCGAGGCACTGTGCGGTATTTGTAAATATTGGGCGAGGAAAGTCTCGGAAGAAGAAATAACGCTGATAACAATACTTTATTATTAATATTTATAGTAATTATTATAATACTAATAACACGATCCAAGCGCATGACAAATCACATAATTTCTCATTGTCAATGAAGAATGCGTCTTCCCCCTCCATCCTGAGCCCCCCACAATGAGGAGGAGAAACCACACAAGCTACCAAACATGTAAAAGTCATTGACTCAGAGCAAAGGGAGTGGAAGGGGCCCGGTGTGTTGTACATAGCTGTCAAGTTAAGGTTCAGTTAGCTTTGTTACCCTCCACCCCCAATGCTTTCACTTTTCCTTTAGCTTCCCTCCTTCCCCCGTTACCACTTTCAGCCGGGCTCAGTCAATAGTATATTATAAAGAAAACGTATTCACTAAGCACCAGGACTACAGAGGCCACAGAGATAGCCCCAGAAAAACGTTTATGACAGGTACCACTCTCCAGTCAACCCTCTTCTCACCTTTAAGTCAACCGTTCTCTTTCCTAGGACCAGGCATTTTAATTTACTTTTAGAAATGTCCCTCGCTGGCCGAGCATAAATATATTAGAGATCTTTAAATGAGTTATAAAAAGGAAAAGAAATAATCTACTGTTTTAGCTCCCTGCCCCATCCCCACCTGTACACCTTTGACTCGTGGCGTTTTCAGGATTCACGAAGGATCCGGGAGCTGTCCAGCCAGGTCTGGTGCTGAGATTGTCTCACAGAACTGGTTACTTTCTTTGGTTGTGCAGGCGGAGGAGGGGCTGTTTTGGATACTGACTATTCTAGCTTTTTGTTGGTTTCCTCTTTTTCTATGATCGGGTTTGCGTGTACTATTGGTTTTCTTATTATTAATCATTGCATAAGTTACCATTTTTGTAAAAAAAAAGTATTAGGTGATGTGCAGTACTGAAAGTGCAGTATCTAACCAACCAGAATGTTTATGTTTAATTTTTAGAACAAGTGCATCTTTGTTATATATTTATTATACTGGTACCAAATACAGAAGCAAACTATAGTTCTGTACTACATCCTTCAAACTGTATATTCCTGTTCTTAATTTCAAGCTGTTGATATAATGGTTACCACTGGATGAAGAATTCAGTGGTGCAGGCCTGGCTTCTGCTGTTTCCAGAAGTGTTCTTTTGTACCTTACTCTGTTGTAGACTGTTATAAAAAGATGACACATATGTTTTCTTATTTCTTTTGCGAATAACAGAAACAACCACAACAGAAAACAAACAATGGATGTGCAGGAATGCCATCTATTAAAACATGGTTAATATTTAAACAGTGCCTGTAGTCCTCCCTGCATGCAGTTACCACCTGGAGGCAGTGGTGTGTGTGCTTGCTTGTACTGTATGTGTTTGAGGGTGGGACTGGTGGGGATGTTGGGCAATTTGGATGACAGGACATGCAAATTTCAAGAGAAGTTAAACCCAACTTCTTGTAGGATAAAAATGTTTGCAGCTTGTTTAGTTAGAAATCTGTGTCTGTATCTGAGATGCAGCAAAAGAAGGGCTCTCTTTCTCTTTCTCAGTCTGGCTTACCTAACTTCACTGAATGCATGAAGGAAAAGTAAGAAAAAAGAAAGTGAGAGAAAAATATCAATGTTTTGGTTCTCTCTCCTAATGCTAGACAAGGCCAGCTGTGTCAGAAATGGTGTCCACCTAGGGTTCTTTACCACTTTGTTTCCCTTGGGTTGATGATAGAAGGGGCAAGAAGCATATTATAGTCTCAGTCATATGCATTGGCATCCTTTCTTGGGAACAGATTTGGAAAATGTATGAATAAGAACGTTCTACAAAAAGCTCAACCAAAAGAGTCCTTACTCACCTGCAAGATGTAAGGCAATGATGCCCCTAAGTGCATCCCTCTCCCCAGGAACTAGTAGTTCCAGATTCTCTGTCTTGGTTCTAGGCATATATGCTCTTATCCAGAGAAAATATTACCTCTGAGGTTTTAGGTCGTCTATTAAATTGCCCAAACTCAGTCTGCACCTTTTATAACAATAATTTAATAAGCTAAATTTTAACCACCCATTAGATGCTCAAATCCTTCCTGAAGCACAGAGGGTCATCATTTAAGCATGCCATGTTTTAATACAAAAGGAAGACCAGGTGTAATCTTTGGGTATAATATATTAAACAATGAACCAGATTCTCTCCAGTGCCTTAGTCACTTCCTAGTAATAGATAAAAGAGTGCATTAACTCCCTCAGGCCACTAGGGAATCCTTTAGTGCATCAGAGCTCTACACTGTACATCAGAATGACTAAGGCACTGTAAAGAAAAAAGTCCATTAATTTCTGTAGCTCACTGTCATCTAGCTGTAGTTCTTTAATACATTATTACAGAATGACTTAAGGGACTGAAAATTTGAATAGAATTAGGGAGTCAGAAGGGAGCTTCCTCATTTCCAATGAGCTCCACTAAGTGCATAGATATCACTTTCTCCCCCTTATTTGGTGCACTTTTTACAGTGAATAATTTCCCATTTTATTAAAGCAATAAGATGTTCTGTTGTGAGCAGTGCTGGATGATGACTCCATTTCCTTGGTGCTGAAGCTACTCATACATTTTTGCCTTATGAATCATAGTGCATTCAAGGCATGCAATAATAATCCCCTTTCAAGGAGCAGCGTGTACACTCTAGGGGGGTAATTATGAAATTGTCCTATATAATTTTTCCCCAAAGGAATAGAGAAAACAAGAGATTTAAAAACTCTGTATATTGTTTTAAAAGATCTTGATACTTCTAAACATGGGTACAGATCCGTAATATGCTCTTACTGTGCACCTTTAAATATGTATGCCTTTCTCCATTAATTAACTATGGTTTAATATTTTTAATAGTGCTTTATGTAAAGATGATGTAGCTTGTGAGTCAAATTTTGTGCTGAGTTAATAAGCTCAGAACTCTAAGCTTCTGGTGGTATCACTTGAGATTTTTTATGAGATAGGGAATTACATGAAATTCTAGTAATGCCAGTCCCCACACCAAATTATTGCAATAAGCACATATCCAAGCAAATTTCACAGACCCTGTTTAAAGCCTTGCTTCTTACAGGGCTCAGTTGGTAGTCTCAGGAGTTTGGGATGCGACCAACAGGGCATTTTTGGATTTCATTTTATATGAAACAAAAGGCAATCTGGAAATAGATAAATTTATTTTAAGGATTTTATTCACTGATGTCCCGTCAAACTAATTGCTTCAAATCCCTATAGCTACAGCTCAACTTCTACACTTGCATTCAGTATTCATAAGGTGGCATGCTTGATTCTTATTGTTTGTAAAAACAAGAAAATTGGAGAGAGAATACCATTATGTCAACTGTATGGGACTCTGAATCTTCAAGATGTAGATGCATATAATCTTCTTTAGAATTTATATACACCCATAGATATGTATTTATATATGCATACATTTTGTACAAATTTACAATGGACTTTTTGTATTCTCTTTTCTGTCATTACAAGAATGAGATGGAAACCAAATAGTTGTTCCATCCTCTTATCCAGAGACGATACTGAGAAGTCAGGTATATGCATGCACTTATTTCCCTGGAGTTAAATCTGAATGACTTTCTCTTTACTTCATGAAAGGGGAGAGTCGTGTTTGGCTCGGGGGAATTGGTAATTAGATAGCTTCTTTTCCTAATTAGTGACTTAAATGTAGCAATGATAATGACATTTATGGCCATGTCTGTGTGGTCTTAATATATAGATGGAAAGCAAAAGTACATAGAAGAGATTTAGGGTCATTTAGACCACAAAACTGGACTATGCTCGATCTTAAATTTTCAACCTATACGTGGTGTGGAGATACAGCTTATATCTGCAAACTAAAGGTAAAGTGAAAATATGACCATTTTCTGTTTAATTTGTTAAGTTGTTTTTGGAAACTATGGATAAACTAGCTTTAAACAAAAAACTTTGGCATCTGACTTTTACACTGTTTCTATCTATATCAATTGAATTAATTAGATAAAGATTGAAATTCCATTTCCATTGTGCAGACACTCTTTAAAAGCTTTTCTGTGGGTGACAGTTGAGCAATTGCTAGCTGATGTTGTGTGGAAGTTATAGATATTATGTGGAAGTTATAGGTTAAATCAGAACCAGAAACTTAATTTGGTCAGGCTTCTCAGGTCCATTCCTGTGTGAATCTGGACTTTGAGTCTAAATCTGAAAAGCCGCTTATCTGGGCCATCCTTGTTTGGAACTAGTGATTGTGGCTCATAGATGTTTTAGTTCACATTATAATAAACTGATCTATTTATAGAGGGGTATTTAATCATTGGATTGAACGTAAGTCTTAATTCTGATTTAGTTTTGATTTATTTGATAACTTTTGAGAAACAGCTTTGATTACTTGAAATTAATACTTATTACCGTCACCAACCTCATAATACAGTTGGTGCCATTTAGGAACGCTTAGCTAAGAATAAGAGTTTCATTAGCTTTAACTGGGGACAATGTCTTATCAAGGTGGGTCTACCTGTTTGAGACAGGTGCATGCAATTTCATTGGGTCGTTTCTATAGAGAGATTAACAGTAACAATAATGATGACAAGAGTAGCAACAGAAAAAAACTGATTTTGGACCTTGAGTATATCCAATAGACAGAATAAAATAGATACTAGAATTCATGGAAAATTTGTTTTGTTTTTCTATCAATAAAAGAGTTTTCTTGTTAATTGGCTCTTTGGACACTATTTCCTTATTAATTTAACTTCTGAAGTAGCAGGATTACAAAATTACTCATTCTGTTGCCTTCAGATGCTCAGAGAAATTTTTTTTCAGTTACATCACTCTTCTGATCTTCCTCACAGACCAACTGCATGTGAGAAATGGGAAGTGTATACACGTTAGGATAACCCGATAACCTTGAGTTCAGTGCAGTAACTCAGCAATCCTTCTAAGCAGATGCTCAGGCTCTTTCGTGCATATGTTATTCTCTCAGACTTCTTCTTTCCCTGCCTGCAGGTCTCTAACAGAGATAGGTGTGTGGGGAAAGGAGACGGCTGACAGTTTTGTGGCAGTTGTGGGAAAAGAAAGCCTCAAATTCGTATGAATCCCTATGGATCCTGGCTGAACTCTACTGAAAACCCTCTGTTAGGACTGTCCTCTAGTCTGAGGCGCCATTGCCTTATCCAGCTTTTGTGCTGACATTCGCCACTGCTGTGTTAGACCCCAGGACTTCACCCCCAGTCTCAAAGTCATCATCCACAGGGATCTATACATTCTGCCCCTGCCATTCCTGGATCCAGCAGTGCTCTCACGCTTTGTCCCCTTCTTGTATGTACAGGAGCTTCTGGAGGTCCTGCATGGCATGGACCTACTGCTGAAAGGCATGGATTCTAGCTCAGGATCACCTCTGCACCTCCCACTACCACCTCAGCTCTACCAGCCTTGCTCCATGTCACAGGGTGCCACGAAGAGGGCTTTCTTCTGAGGTCTTATAGCTGCACTCTGATACCTTCCATGGGAAGAGGTTGCCATTTGATCCTAGTCCTTGGTCTTCTTCAAAGCCATTTAGTTATATATGAAACACTACCTCCTCCTTTTTGACTTCTGTGTGTGGAGAAGAGAGTCATGAATTCCTTAACAGCTGCCTGCTTCACTTTTCTTTTCTGTCTCTCTCTCTTTTTTTTTTTCAAAATTGCCCTAGACAGCAAGAAACAGATTCTCCTCTTCATTCTTCACTTTCCTGAACCTGAGACTCCTCCTACTACAGCTAGCATCCCACTTCCGCAAGGATCTTGTCCTCTCTTTCCTGACCTCAGCCTAACGACTAACTGTAAGTGTAGGAGTGTAGGATGTAGGAGAGAGAGAAATAAGCTTATTGATAAGGGATTCTAAATTGGGATATATTTGAAACATATAATACTACCATGGTAAACCTTTGTCTTCCTGCACAAAGTATTCACTCATGATTAAGGTCTCACCATCCCTTTTTCCAAGAAGGCAAGAGCTTGATCATTAGCCTCCATTTATTTCTCTATTAAGTTCTACCCAGTCCCCTCAAATTTGGCTAGGAAATCCGGGTACCAATTGACTCTTGCTTTAACTTACTCTTTGGTCTCCAAGAAGACACACCCTCTTCCTAGTACTGGCCCATGCCTTCACCCTGCCCCATCCTCTAGGAGATACAGACTGTGTGTTGGAAACGTTCCCTTTAGGCTCGGATAGCCTAAAGGATGTTGAATACTGGAGTGGAAATGAGTAGCTAATTCCACCTAAAGGCAGCAAGGAGCATGGGTTGGTGCCACAACCCAGTCTCCAACCACGGTCCTCCTTACTCCTAGGACGCAAATATTCTTTGACCTCAGCTGTTTGGCTCAAGAGAGTGACGGGTCTTCACTTAGCCGGCTCTCACAAGGCTGACAATGAGTCTACTTGCTCCCTCCTTCATATTCCTAAATGGACTCAATTAATTAAATACTAGCTTGTAATTCTCTTTCTGGTTAGTTGTTGAGGTCCGTCTCTTCCATAAACGTGTCTCCAAATATGCCCCAGCCTTGAACTGATGCTATGGTATTGGACTTCCCGCTCTGAAAAGCTGACTCTATTTTTCGAAACTCCGAGAAGGAGATTTAGTGAGTACCTTTATTCCTTTATTAACCCCTCTTTCCTTCGTTATGCTGACCAGCCTCTCTCTGCCTCTGCAAATCCTCTCCCTCCCTTGAGCATGGCCCTGACACAGGATTTTTAATTTTAGCCTTGAGGTTTATCAATTCATGACACAAAAATCTGCTTCACACATATTCTCAAAAACCCTGGGGGAAAAAAAACCCTCAAGTGCACTGAGCAGGCAAAAGTACTCACTTTTCACATACAGATGTGCAAAGCAAATGTGGCTACTCTGTTTTCCTATAATCTATCTTGTCCTTCTCATAAGGGGCCAGCTTGCAGAGTCGGCCTTTTAAGAAAATCTTCAAACTCTCGAGCTTTCTCTTTTCCATCTGCTTGTCTCCAAGGTGATATCTAGGAATGATTTACATTATCTCCTGGTGACAGAAGAGGAAGGTTCTTCAGACCTTGGCAGTGTTAAAGAGACCCTTGCTAGTTTGGACTGCAGAGTGGCTGGCCCAGTGGACTTCCTGGGAAGCAAGGTCCAGCCAGTACCCACCACTGTAGCTGATGATCCTGGACATTATATGTTGTCTCAAAATTTGAGTCTGCAGGGTTTTTTTTCCCCCTTTGTTCCAAATGCAAGATTTTCCTGTTTTGCCGCATTCTAAGCATTTCTGGATCCCCTCATCTGGAACAAATGAGAGTGTACATTAGTTCATTCCGTTCAGGCAATGGGAAGTAATGCTTCTAGTTGCCTGTTGTCACTACCACTGTCCCAGCGCTGCTGGCTTCCTATAGGAGAAAGGAGAATACAGTAGCTCTCCCTAGTAGTGGTTTTCCCAAGTCTAGTCAGTGAGATTTTCCAAAGCCTCTACTAGCCTCAGACTCTGATTCTGTTAGAATGTTTTTCATGTGGCCCCTCTCCATTGCTATTTGTCCCTGAGTCACGTGGTTTAAGGAGCAAGAGCCTCGGAACTTACCATCCTCAATCAATATTTGACTCTCTTCTTCCCTCCAAATTACCCAGGGTTAAAAGGGATAGTACTTTTTTTTTTTCTTTTTCTTTTTTTTTTTTTTTTTTATGATCCCTGGAGGATTTCCTCTGGTACAGCCAAGCAAAGAGTGATAGACTTGGGGCTTTTTGCCTTCTAAATGCCGTGTCCTACCCTGACTCCAACCCCACAGGTAAGTATTAAAATGGAGGCTGGAATTTGGAAGAATGATTGGCTTACTGATACATGGGCCCACTTGAGAAGTAATTCTGGAATATTTTATTAGTTACACTTGTTTACACATAGGCGGCTCCTTTTGAGATGATGGCAGGAATTCGGCGATGTCAGAAAGACCCCTTCCCCCCTCTACTTGCCAGTGTGTGAAGGACCCAAGGTAAGAGTTTGGTTCCAGTGTTTTATGTTGTAGCCTGTCAAGCCCCCTTGACAGAGATTATAAGTGTCACTAGTATTTTGTGCCTCAGTATGGATCAGACTTTTCTAAAGATTCTGCAGTAGAACAGAAAGGAGGACGTGAAGGTCCCTATGCTCCAAAGGGGCAGACATCATCAGAGAACAAAAAAGGAGAAGCTGAAGACATGCTTCCTCTGGTGGGCTGGACCCCGTGCCCTGTCACAGGATGTCCTGTGGGGAGATGCACGAAGGATCACGATTTTGCCCTACATGTGAGAATGTGGCCATGCTGTGACAGGTTTGCTTGCAGGATCTTCTCAGCTTAGTCCCATTCTTAGACTTATAGTAGCTTCAGTCCTTTGTCAGTTATACTGCCTTGATTCTGACAGCTGCCACTCAGCCTGCAGGCCCCACCGTTTGGTCACTTACCCATAGCTAATCCTGGCTTGGCCACTGAACAGGTGTCACTGACAACTTTTAAAAAATCTGATTAATGAGATGACCCCTTTGAATCTTTCATCTCCGACATCTGAGAGCTCATTCAATCAACAGATATTCAGGGCGGGCCAGCTATATGCCACGCATCATTTTTGGTGCCAGAAATGGAGCAGTGAACAATAGAGGCAAAATGTCCTGCCCTCACAAGGATTTCATTCTAATGGAAAGAAACATTAAAACAAAAGACAGAAGTAAATTGTAGAGTATGGTATAGGGAGAAAAGTGCTGTGGAGACAATGATGCAGGGAAGGGTGATAAAGAGTGTGCCAGAAGGGAGTGCTCGGTGGCCAGAGATGGGGTGGCCAGAGAAGGTTTTACTGAGAAAATGATATCTGAGCAAAGACTTAAAGAAGTCATGCAAATATATGTATAAGTTAACTGATCAAAAGTCGTTTGTCTACAAAGATTTGTAAAAACCATTCCAACCAAGTCCCTAATTTTGTAAATGAGTAAATAAGATTTTGGGTAGAAAAAAGGCTTACTGAGCAGTGTGTCAAGCTGACACCCCCAAGGAAGGAAGAGGGGAAAATCCTAACCTTGAGGTGCTCATAGTCTAATAAATTAATCAATTTCAATTCAGCTCAATGGCAGTAATAAATATACGTTAAAAAGTGCTTCAGGAGCACAAAGTAAGTGGCAGCAAAGTCTGCATGGGAGGGTTTGAAAAGGTTTCCCAATGGAGGTAACACTTTGGTTGGGTTTTAAAGGATGAGTAGGAGTTTACTAAGAGAAGGGAAAACATTTTACAGAAAAAAGAAAAGCGCATTTGAAAGCACAGAGGTTAAGAGTGCCATGCATATTTGGGGAAAGTTATAAGGTTCATACTGGGAGTGTCATAAAAGAAAGCCTGAAAAGTAGAAGTAAGCCTTTAAGGATCGTGCAAGAGTAGCCTCTGAGAACACGTTTTTCTGATGTGAGTGGGGAGTCAGTGAGGAGTTTTGACTACAGAGCAGTGTCGATGTGTAAATCGATGCAATGGGGGTTGCAGAACTGGATGTAAAGACACCAGACAGAAAGCAACAGCAAGTGGTGAGGGTCTGAACCAGTGGGGATGGAGACGAACAACGAGGGGATATTCAAGAGAATGTTAAGTTATTGAATTGATGGGGTTGATGATTAACAGAGGTGTGGTGTGAGGCAGAGGAAGCAAAAAGAAGAGGAAAAGGCAG